CTGCATAATGTTTGTGTGGCACTGAGCTCTAATGCTGGTGTCCCAAGGAAGGGGAATTTTGCTGGAGTGGCAGTGCTGGGTCATACAGTGCAAGTGAGGATTTCCTTGCTAAAAGGAAAGTACTGCAGCACTTGCACTGCATGTGGAAGCTCTGGATGAGTAGCAGGCCTTGGATTCTGTATTAGGACTGCAGATGACCTTGCCTTGAAGGAGACGGGAATATAATGAGGAAAAGGCATGGAAAATGTTCCATGTTCAGTTCTGTAAATAGGACAACTTTGGTTTTTTGGATTGTTTTCTCTTGCTGATTAGAGTCCGTAGTTGTACCTTAAACCTCCTTGTTACAATTATATGTGTCTTGCAAAAGACACCTGCCTAGGAAGGTGCCTGTTCTGCTAGTTATCCCCTGCTGTCAGGTGGAAGAGCTCTTAAACATGTGTGTGTGTGTGTCATATTTTTTTAAGCTGCCAGGAGCAATATAACCTGTTTCTCTTCTTACAGGTTTCCATTGCTTCTGGTGTCCTTTAGTGCTCTGCTGGTGAACTTAAATGACTCCTTTATGCTTTGAAAGGCTTCTGCTGTCTGACTCCCTTTTTTTTTTTTTTGGGGTCATCCTTTTTTAAAAAAATTGCAAGCAGCAGAGGAAAAATAGCCCCAAATTGTCATCACTAACTTTGAGGGAGCTTTGAAGGGATCTCACAGCAGTTCATTAAGACTGACTGTGTATGATGCTGTCAGGGAAACAAATAGCTCTTAAGCAACAAGGAGACATCTTCATTGAATAAAGAGCCTCTGAATGTGTTTTTGTAGGCATGCTCTAGCTGAGGGATATCCTAGTTTTTCCAGCCTGAAGAAACAGGTAGAAGTGCATGTGAAATGGAGCAGAAAGCACTAAACAAGGTTTGCTACACCACACCCATGGGCTCTGCTTTCCCTGTCTCTTCACTGCTGGACACATAAGTGTTTGCACCCTGCTTGGGAATTCTCACATGGACAGAGCCATATGCTCTCATCTTTTATGTGAGTGCTAATTGCTTTGCAGCTCAGCTCTGAAATGCTGATCATCGTTAAATATTTAACTGTTCATAACCTTAAAGCAAGGAGATAGTTGTCAGATCTGAATCCTCTATGCCTGTTAGGCTTTTTGAAAACTTACGGGTCTTCCTTCATATTCACTGCGTGATTGGATTTGGAAATGAGATCCATGCCTAGCACTTGGATCTCTCAATTTTCACAGGTTGAACATCAAATGAACACAGAGCTCTGGTGGTTACACCATCACTGAGGTCTGGAGTTGCACCTATTTATGTTAGTGGTGAAATTAACTCTGAATTCTTAACAAGTCAGGTGCCTTGGTAGATTGTAGAGCAGGAATGATGATTTATAGTGGGAAATGTACCTTCATTTCATGAAATGTGATTTACTTGCCTCAAAACTTCAAAGGACACGTTTTTAAATCATTGAGACTTGAGTGCCTTACTAGCTCTGAAAATATGTGCCTGCATCTCTGTCCTTTATTTTCCCTATAAATGAGCAAGAAATATCTTCTTTGGGAAATTTAATTTGCCCTTCTATTGTCTGGATTTGAGGTTTATGCCCCGTTAGGTGTGAATCTAGAGATTGGATCCCTCTGAAGCGGAGAAATCCCAGATTAAAACACAGGTTCCAAGTCTGTAATGTTAAAGCCACAACATCGCACCACATTTATTAGATAGTCCTCACTTTTTTACAAAGGAAAATATTAGAGGAACTCACAACAAATGCAAGCTGAAAACCATTAATTTTTCCCATGTGGAAGCACTAGTCGTTCTTGGCTGAAAATCTTGCTCTCTGTAGGTGAAATCGTTTGGGGTCTTTTGCCTGCTCCAGGAACGTTTTCCCTCTCTCCTCTGCGAGGTGAAATGCCACAGAAACTGTGAAATCCTGAGGTGTCCCAGGCATGTTCTAGAGGAGATGGTGTCTGTGGCTGGACCCTGCCTGGAAATACTGCTTGCTGCATACTGGGTGATTGATGCAGAGTTTATGGAGGGTTTTTTCACTCCATGTCATGCTCCACATTAGCTCAAACCAAGGAAGCACATCCAGGAACTTTATCACCATTTCTGAAACACTTGAGCCAGAATCAAACTTCAATATGGTTTAATTTTACCCCTCATAAACCAAAAAGTTTGGAGCAGTAACCCTATTGCTAACAAGCCCTTTAAACTGTTAAATTGTGGTGTTTTTTGTTTTTTTTTTGTCTTTTTTTAAATATTTATTTATTTATTCAATCAAAACTTGTTTATCTTTACTTCTGTTGCTTGTGGAGGGGGAAGAAAAAAACATCAAATTTATTAACTCAACAAATGTTTATTAATACTAATTATTTTCCTCTTCTCTTCTGAAATGTAGGTCTACAGCATCAGGACAAGAGCAAGGAAACTGCTTGGTTCTGAGGTGCAGAGAAATTAAGAACAGCTAGAGCTGGAGTTGGCAGAGCAGGGTGGGTGACACAGAAGTGGTTGACTCCTTCTGCATGGAGCAAAGGACACACATGAAGATGAAGAGCCAACTATTCTGGTTTTGCTATCGAGCCTTTTATTTGTAAGGCCATTTATGGGTCCCAGAGTGTTGGAAACAAAACCAGAAACCTAACTTTTCTTTCTTTCCTCATCTGAGCCTGCTGCAGCTGGGCAACCTAACTCCTTTCTGCTCCTTTAACAGTGTTTCGTTTTGTTCAGCTTGATATTTTTATGAACAGTCTCAATAGTCAGGAAAAAAAGACTCTCCCTTGACTACAGTGCGCCTTCTTTCAGGAATACAGTATTTTGTAGCTCTTTGTGCATCTATTTTTGTAGAAATACAGAAAGTTTGGGTAAGGATCGATGGGCTATTTTAGGATGACATATTTTTTTAAAAAAAATTGTAAAATTGTTAAGTTCTGTTTAAAGAACTTGCTCTCAGAGAAGCACTGGCAAAAATGTATAAAATGCTATTTTTAGATGTCTGTGATGTATTTGTGCATTTTGGGTTTTTTGTTTGTTACCTCAAATGTCTATCTTTCCTTTCTTTTTAAAGAGCTAAACTCCTTTGTTTCCACATTACTAGATTCTGATGTTTTTTGTCCTTTTGTTCTAGCTTAAGCAAGTGTAATTCGCACCTGAAGTTTCAGCCAAATATTTTTTCCTGGTGTTAGGTTGTAGTAAAAGTGGTCTTGTTTTTCTTGCTTCTGAAGGTGGCTTTGTGCTGTGCTGATTGTCAGAAGCTCGCAAACACCTTTAGCATAGAGCAAAGCTTGAGGTTACAGCAACTGCAAACACCTTTAGCATAGAGCAAAGCTTGAGGTTACAGCAACTGCGTTCCCAGCCCATCCATTCTTTCAAAATGGACCAAACAGTCTTAAATCAGACACGAATATGGGCCTCATCTATGATCCACTGAAGCTGCTGAACACAGTTCCCTGTGGGTTATGTTGCAGGCCCTCATAAATATCAGTATGATCCTACAGGCAGGACTTTCAGCTAAGCCATTTCAAGGTGGTAACTTACAACATCAAAATTCAGGGAAAATAAAAACAAACATCCAGGTTTATGTAAAAAGGTGTGTCTCGTGGAAACAAAAGGTTTTCCCCCAGCCTGCTGTGTGTGCTGAGCAGCTCAAGGAAAGCACTACACTTGTCTCCAGGATGTGTTTGCCTGGCCGGGGCTGTGCCGCGGGACCGCAGCTGCGTTCCCTGAGCAGCTGTAGGTGCTGAGCCTGCCCGCCGGGGCCTGGCTGGGGAAAGGTAGCCTGGCCACGTGGAACCACAGCCCTCTGCTTGGGAAACCCCCCTGGCCTGGGCCTTGGCTCTGACTTGTGTAATACAGGCTTTGGTTGGAGCCAAGGTGAGCGTGGACAAATCCTGGGTAAGGGCCGTGGGGTCACCGTGGGCTGGAGCTGGGTCAGTCTCCGTGCCCGGCCCCTGGGGACTCCAGCCAGTGTCAGCATGAGCTTAGATGGGACTGAGGGGAGCCCAGGATCAGGGCTGCTGGGTCCTGGCTATTACTTGGAGATGTTGCCTTTCTGCTCTGTGCACCCAGGGTCCCTCTGTAATATTTTCCAAGGCTCTCACAAAGCATTATATTTCTGTCACCACTGCTCTCAGACATCCCTGTTTGAAAGACACACCGTCTGAGTAGAAAAAGCAAGATATAAACACATGGCTGAGATAAGAAAGAGTTCAATTTTAAGGCACTGAGCATTGTAAATGTAGTTTGGTCAGGTGGAGACCACATGGATCTGTGTGTGAAAGGGGCGGGGGGGTGTTGGGAAGTGCATGCCACTCCGAGGTTCCCTGCACTGCTGCTTCCCTCCAGGCTTTTTGAACTTGATCCTGTGAGGTGTTGAGCATTCTTCCTTGTCAAGGGAGAGGGCTTGACATGCTGGCACTGGAGGCATTAGGATTATATCACAGTTTGGCAAGACCCTTAAGTCTCTACCTTGCTGATTTGAAGTTTGAGACAGCGTATGAATGCTGAATGGACTATGCTTAAATATTGCTTTAAAGTAGTAAGGTTGTAGTCTGTGTTGGGATGATGAATTAAATGTGGTGGGGTTTTTTTCCTCATCTTTGTAGTCCATCAGTATTTCTTTCTCTCAATAAATTACGCTCTCATGACAGTTCTCTATATTATTGCTGCTCTGGTGGAGCTAGCTCCTCAATTTGTCAATAAATTCATAATGCAGTAATAAAACTGTATGGGAGGGAATGGAGTACCAGTTGCCACAGTTCACTTTCTTACCAGGACAGTACAGTTCAAGAAATATCTCAAGAAAAAGAATTCTGACTTAGGAATATTGACAGTATTAGAAAATACTGTGAGGAAAAAAAAAAATCTAAGTGTTTGTTTTTTATTTTTTTGTTGTTGTTTATTTGTGGGGTTTATTTTGTTTGGTTTTTTTTCCCTGGACATGGCAAAGGTAGAAATGAAAGAGACAGTGTCTCCTCTTTGAACTTCAGGGATGGAGAGTTTGGGTGGCAGGGGTAGCAAAAGAATTTTGGGCAGCATTTCTTTTTGAGGTGTGTTTGACTTCCTGAAATAGTTTAAAGGCTAGCAAGAGCAGTCTGCTCACTGCCTTCCCCTTCACAAGCTCATACTATGAGGGAACCTCCTCTGGTTCCCTATAGATGTCAAAGGAAAAGCAGGACAGGAACGAAACAGGCCCACAGTTTGCACTGGAATTTCTTTCTGGATTGTATCACTGAGTTGTTGGTTAGTGGGGATGAAGAAGTGGGGAAGCTGTTGGCTCTTCCACGTCCAGGACTACTGTTCTGCACCCAGTTTCCGCTGCTGAACCTGGGACTGAGCTGGCAGAACCTCTGCAAACTCTGGGTGACAAGTGCCAATAAAAACCTGCTGTTCTCTGTAGCCATTGATGCTCAAGTCCCTCAACTTTGAAAGCGAAATAAATTCTTCTTCCCCCCTCAGTCACTAATTATCCCTTGTGCTAACGAGTGAGAAAGGAAAAGCCTAAGTGCATAGCAGTAGCCCTACTTCTGTGTTCTACAACTTGAGGGATGGAAAAGGGGAAAAAACAACCCCACCCTTCCCTGTGACAAACTTTTAAGTTAAATTCAGCAGATTTCCTTCTCTCCCCCTTTCCCATACACGCACACTTACACACACGCACAGAAGTGCTTATGAGAAGCAGATGCTGCCACGGTTTTGCTCTTGGAAGAGGAGGGGAGCCTGCAGTGGTGGGGAATCGATGGCAGCGAGAAGGAGCAGAAAGGTTGAGACTGCTTGTGTTTCTGCAGATAGGGGAAAAAAAAGGCCCTTGAAATCAGGTCACAGATAAGTTGTGTGTCTTAATGCGTTATTGAAGTAGTTGTTTCATTCTTTTTATGTGTGGTGTGTTCTGATGCTGTCCCAAGAAAGTGGATGATTCATTTTGAGAGGGCTTATAAAACATGTTGTACTCGGTCACTGTTTCTGGGAGAACATAGGGAAATGATTGTTTTATTTCAAGAAACTCAAAATACTGACCTCCTTAAAGTTGTCCAGGATTTTATTTTATTCTTGTTACTGTTGAGAAATCTTCAATCAATTTTTATGTCTTCATTTGAAGACTGGAAGAGTTCAAGTTGTCTACCAGTTTTTGAGAGGCAGATGCCAGTTTTTTCCAATGGCCCATTTCCATCCCAACAAGAAGATGGAATAGTGCAGCCGCTGACTGCCCTGGAGATTGGATTTCCGGAATTTCTGGAGTGATGAATAATTGGCAGTAGTAAAATGGACTCTGTTCTGATTCCTTCCCTCACCAAACACACAAGTTCAGGTGGTCCTCAGTGAATGGCATTTTGTCTCAATCACCCACACTTCCATCAAAAGACTTCTGAGAACAGATCTGTCATCACAGCGTTCAGAGAGGGAGGGGAATGTCACATTTCCCCAACCTGCCCTTAGGATTTCCTTGCCTCACCCAGCCTTTCTGCTTCCAGGCTGTTACACATGTCTTGCTGTCCCACTCCCACAGTTCTTCAATGTGTATGGATATATTTCTCTACAAATGTATTTATACACATTCACATGTAGCTGTGCCTGGTTCCCTCTGTTCCACTCTCGTGCCTCAAATGCATGTCCTTTGGAAATGAAGTGAATGACTTCATCAAATCTCATCTGATATGGAAAATGTAGGCATTTTATTGCATTCTCTGTTAACTCAGGAGTGGCTTTTTTTTTCCTACTTGTTAAAAGAAATGAACACAACAAAAACACATGAAAAAACCCCTTTCAAATCACCTGATTTGTATCTGTAAAGATGATCATGAAATCAGCGGTTATGTAGAGAGGTGCAATATATTGCCTTTCAGCAGACAAGCCTATAATATGGTTAATTAATTTCAGGTACAAGCTTTTGCTCCATATCAATGGGCCAGCAACACATATATTTCCTTATAAACAACTTAGAAATATATATATTTTTCAAGTGGAATTCTTGGTTTTTGTATGTCAGCCTTTGAGCTTCTAAAGGGTATTTGGATGATAAGTATTGTTTGTGTGTGGGTTTTTAAAGAAAGATGATGCATGTTGTTTGGAACTAAAATCTCATGTAAAGCGGGAAAGTATTTAAAAATAAATACTGCTTTTACATATTAGCCCTATGGGCACAATCTGAGAGTTGTGGTGCAGGAAGATGCCCCTGTAAAAAGTAAGGTTCAAAATGCAGGAGAGGCAGGAGTGGCCCTGGAAAGGTTGAGCTGGTGGGACTGAGAGCAGAGATGATCCTCTCCAGAACTGTATGTACATGGTTGGGCAGCCACTGCTCAACACACTGAATTTAGGCTGTGTTAGCAGGTTTATATTTATGGGGTGAACTGGTTGCTATGGGGAGCTGTAGATGTCCTTGGAAAGCCGTGTTTTAGCTGCCCTTGGTCTGCTCAGTGCCCCTGACCCTCTCCCAGTTCTTGCTCTGCAGTCTCCATGCCACCACAGTGGGACCCCTGGAAGCTGGGCTGGAGTTCCCTGGGAAAATGCACCACTTTTATGTTTTCAGCTCCCAATAAAGAAAGTTTAGGGATGGGGAGGGGGTCATTAAAAACACTCCAGTTATTTCATGCACCTGCTCAAAGGCTCGAGCCTCCAACATAAGTCAGCTTTGTGGCCTTGGAAACCTTCAGTGGCATTGGGATGGTTGGGACCAACCTTGAATTGCAGTCCAGTGGGGGCTGGTCCAGCCTTGATCCTGGTGAGCTGAGGCTCAGGTATTTGGTACCTATAGACAACCAGTGTTTATAGGAGTTTGAGGTTTACAGTAATGGAGTGAAATATCTGCAGAACTGTGCTGCACTTTCCCTGCTCGCTCTTTGTAGCTGTTGCTTAAAACCATCAGTCAAATCAGGGTCTCTCTCTTCCCCCCACCTGTTTTCCCACCTTGCTTCCCTCAAAACTCCATTGAAATGTTTGCCCCTCTGATCAAAACTGATGGGGGTTTGGGGGTGGGGGCTTTGTATAAAGAAAAGTGTCACTGTTTATTACTGAATAAATAATTTAATGTGAATTTTATTGTTATATTTTTTATGTAGCATTTTCAGTTTGGTCTGTATTTTTCAACAATTAGCTAATTCCTTCTTCTTATTCTTATTGAACTGAAGAACTCATAAATCTCTTTGTAAATTTCTGCATCCTGAGTTTCTATTCTTTGCATGAGATGAATTTTTAGAGCCAAGGATTTATCTTCTGTTGAAAATGTTGTAAAACAAGTGTTCTAAACTGGCTCTGTACTAAAATTAAACAGATTGAAAGCCTTGCATTGAAGGGGTTTCAAGCAGAGATCTTGTGAAGGCACAGGCTTGCCTTCTCAGACACTGTCAAGTGCTTATGCTACAATGTCCTCTTTTATTCTTAACATCTTTTTTTTAAAAATCGCATTAGCACTATTTTACAATCAGACCTAGTGGAATCACAACCTGAGACTTCTTTGTAAGACCCCTTTTTAATTTTATAGTTTCCTGGCAGTTTTGACAGTCATCAGGCAGAGATTTTCCATGCAATTTATTTACCTCAAATTGATTTTTTTTTGGCAAAGTTCAGTAAGTCCCGCTAAGGAGGTAACTGCCTTTGCTAAAATTATTTTACAACTGTTTAATTAAGAAATGTTTGCATGTCTGTGTTCTGGCTGGAGGGCTGAGGGTTTGGTGTTTCGGTCACAGATACATCATTTACTGCTCCAGCAGTGGGGGGAAAAAAACCTCCAAGCTTTGGCCAAGCATTCAGCTTTTGAAAAATTGCCACTTGCACGCAATCAGCAGGGAGCTGTTAAGAATTTAGTTGCAAAATCCTCTGAAGATCCTGACCATATGGGATGTAGTCTGTTTCAGAGCATCGGGAGATGAGCAGGATTTTTCCCATACGTCCTGCTCCAGGCCCTGCTTCCCGGACCAGACAGCGAGCAGGGCACTGTGTGCAGAGTCACGGTGTTCTCCTGTCTCAGGCTGTGAGGAAGAGATGGGGAGAGCTGGCAGACAAAAACTCCAGGAGAGGAAGAGAGAGGGCTCAAAAATCTTTCTGTGGGAGAGAATGGGATTGAGAGCGCCTGGGACACGAGCAATATCAAAGAGTGGAGATGAAGATGACGCGGACTGCTGGAAAATAAGCAAATAATGCTTCATGATGAATGATCCTAGAGTGGGATGTGGCAGCTATCAAAAAAATACCAGAATAATGTGAGGACTTAGGAATTTGGAAGGAAAATACAGCACAAACGTTGCAGAAAATGTCTTTCTTTGAAGTGAGGTGTGCACCTTTGGTTTAGTCAGTGAGAAGAGGCATGGAACCCCTTTGCTTTAAGACACCCACCCAGAGAGAAATGTACTTTAGGAAGCAGGAGTGTGTTAAGCCGGGGAAGAAGATACCTGAAGTGCTTTTTATTCTCCCTGTATCTTCTGCTCTTGCCAGGTCTCCAGCTGCATTGCCCCACACCTGGCTTTCCAGGTACTCACAGGGGTTATTTCTATGCTTTCACTGCTTCAAGAAATGAAAGCAGGGGATGTGAGACATTATTTTGTGACTGATTTTATTCATGATGATCCACCTCCTCCATTAATGTCAGTCACTGGCACTCTCTTGCTTTTAGTGTATTTAACACCCGCGGAGAATCTTACCAGTTACCTCGGGATAAACCTCGGTTTGGGTGTTATCAGCTGGAAACTGGGTCCCAGATGGGTGCAGGGGACTCTCCCTTGGAGCCTGGGTGCCCTCAGGGCTGCTCAGTCCCACCTGGTGTCACAAAGGACAAAGGTCACAAAAAAGGAGAGGAGAGGAGAGGGACTGGGCTCCTTTGAGCTGGAGGGGCAGGCGAGCGTGGTCTGGGGCTGTGGTTGGGTGTCCTGGTGGGACAGGGGTGTCACCAGCCTGGCATGGTGACATTCCATGACATCCCAGGCATGGTGGGGCCGTGCTGGCAGGACCTCAGGCTCGGAGGGGTTATGCTGGCTGCGTGACGTGGGAGGCCGGGTGGGGACCGAGACATCTGGTGAGAATTCCTCACGGCTGAGCTGTGCGTTGGGCTGGGATGCCGAGTAATTTAGCTGATTTCTTTTTTGGGGTTGCTGGGAGGAGGAGGAGGAGGAGGAGGAGGAGGAGGAGGAGGAGGGGGGGAGGCCA